TACTGTATAAATTTTTCATAATATGAATTGCAATTGGAAAGTGAATAACATGTTTCATGCAGTAATATTATGGAAAATCTTCTTTGTGTTGCTTGGGAACGGTTCTTGCAGGTTGTTGTTTAGTTGTTTTCTGTATTGGTTGAATAGAGAAATGGTAAGAACTATATGTGCTTATTATTAGTGTCGTTAAGGATTATTTACGTTTGTTTTTATTGTTTCAGGATAATTCTCAATATGTTGTGTGTTTCGGAGCCGATAGTGCTCTGAAGCTAATTACTCATAGAGGACGAGGAGTATTTCGGGGTGGGCATCGAGGTTATCGTGGTAGAGGTTATGGTAGTGGTAGAGGAGTTTTGCATGTTAATAGTCGTGGTGGCTTTAATATTCGTGGGAGTGCATGTTATCCTAGAAGTAGAGGATGGAGTGATAGAGGAAATAGATATGCTGTTAGATATGTACGAGGTGGTAGGAACATGAGTTTGAAGTCATTGGAGGTGCCTGACAAGCAAGATGATGTTAGTGATATCAAGGTATTTAAAATTCTTGAAGGGGCATTTTGTTAATGATATATGAACAAGTTGTAATGTTTTATTTTACTTTCAGTGTCCAGTAATCAGAAATGTTTCTGTAATTGGTGACAGTTTTGCGTTGCGACTGGCGAAGTATTGTGATTCAACTGTGAAAGGTAAAATCATTTCTTATTTTATATCGGTTGCATTATAGTACATATATTATGTGTTTTTTAATTCGAACCTTTTTCTTTTTTATTAGGCAAATATAAATTATGTGAAGGTGGTTTGACTATGAATCAAATGAAGTTACGTATAAGTGAATGTGATGGTTCTATTTTCACTACTGGAAGTGTAGTTATGTTGATGGGCATGAATGATGTATCAAAGGTACGATTGAATTATGTATTCATACATGTGTGATTGCATTAAGTCTTATACATATTTATGTGTATATGTTTATATATATTTTCAGGTTAATGTTAATGATTATGATGGAGAAATGTTTTCTCTTATTTCGAAGTTGAAGTCCGTTGCTCCTGAAGTTGTTTTCTATATTTGCTCTCTTCCTATGTTACTTGGTGATGCTAGTCAGCGCATATCACACTTTAATAAAGTTGTTGATACTGTTACTAGATTGGGTGAGTAGAATTCTTTAAAGATGTGTTACTGTATAGTACTTGTTACTTTGTATTATAATATTGTTTTTTAATTATGTAATTATTGTTATAGATGCATCACTAATGAAGATTGATCTGCAGTCAGTTTTGCATTCCAATGGACAGATAGATACTAAGTTCTATGAGAAAATGTATAAGTCAGATTTTTTTGATATACATCCTAATTCAAAGGGTCTTGAAATTATATCTGGAGTTATTTTTAATCACTTTTGAAATTTTTGTATGTTGCATGTTGCATGATGTATTGTAATTGCATGAAATTTGTGTTGTTATCTTGCATGTATATGGTAATAAAGTAATGTTAAACAAAGAGGTGAAGGAGTTTGACATGGCGTGTTTTTATGTAGTTTGCATATACTCATCAAGTGTGAGATTGCTAAGGAGCATAGTTTTCAGTTGTATGTGGTGGTGTGTAGGCATGAGGTAAATGAAAAGAAAAAGTAGAAGTTCAAGTTTTGCTTTATTTACTATAAATTGAGCATCAGTGAAATTTTAGTTATTATAAAAATAATAGGTTAAAGGGGTCTTAGAGGGCTGGCTGGCTAGACGATTTTTTCGTTTTTAATTGCAGACTTGGTCTGGATTGAAAGAGGGCAGGTCAGGAGCAGGACAGGGACCAAGCTTCGACAGGACTCGGGGCTGGGAACAGTAAATGTGATATTAGACATTTGGAAAGAGACAGCAGAACTGAAAGTTAACTGAGTGTGATATTAAGTGTTTAATGATATGTTATATTCAAATAATACTTGACTTGTAAAATGTTGCGCCAGAACGAGGGATGTTGGAGTCGTGTCGTCTGCTGGCAGGGTGGGTGAAGGTGCCTTCATAATGTCTTGTTTTTAACTAACTAGGATTGTTAATTTCTCTTTTTTCCACTTAAGGTGATAGACCTGTAATTTTTTTAAATTGAAGGTGGGATAGTCCTTTTTTGCTACTCCAATAATTTTTTTACTCAAAGATATTAATGTTTTATGGTCAGTGTACAAAAGTGTATGTAAGAATTGGATTGAAAAGTTTATTTTT